ATACCTGCTTTGTTTCTGTTTCTGGCAACTTTGGCGTTCCCGTCGCGAGTCGGTAAAGAACAAAAGGTTTCTGTTTTGTTTTCATTACAGGCAACATTGTCGCTGCGATGTGTACTTTGTTGCGAAACAAATATAAAACAGAAACTAGTATCAAAAACGTACCTTAATATATTCTTTGAGGCTTTTAGTTAGAGTATTACAAGTGTCCGGTATTATTACCGATATTGCTTGTTTTGATATTTTTGACTGATTCATCAAGCTATGATAAGAATCTCTGGTCTACAAAAATCTTAAACGTTCAACTACGTTAACTGCATTTCTGAAATTTTTTTCATAAATTTTAGGACCGATCAGCTGTATTAGTTCTTCAAAGTTTTTCCTGGACATTCTTAAAAAGTTCTCAAAACTAGAACGCATTTCTCCTAGCAATCCAATATCATCTTAATGCATCTCTTTCACGTAAGGAAAAAGCGCTTTTATTTCCCCGGTCACAACTCTGGAGAAAGGCATAGCCAGCAGACATTATGATGAAATCTTTGCGCTTCTGCCTTTCAGCATAAAAACGCCACATATTTTCACTCTGAAAATTTTTGATGTGAACTGCACGAAACAAAACAACTGAACATTTTTTTGTCTCTTAGCAATGTGGACGTAAGTTATAATTTTGTTTTGTTTCTAAATAGTTGCTCATTTGTTTTGTTCCTTGTTTTTGTTTTGTTGCTTTGATGTGGACCAGGCATAAGAAAATGGCGTTTTTGCAATCCAGATTACTTCCGGATATTGTCGGAAAAAACGTCAACTTTCGCAAAGACTCTATTATTTTTTCTAGACTTTATTTGAGATACAATTCCAAAACAGATTGCACAATGATATTGCCACCATTTTCTTTAATTTTATTTCTCATGGACACTATAATGGATGAGGTGAATAAAAGAGAGTAAATGCCTTTACGTTATAATTTCAAAGTAAATTCTTGGTAGTAAGTGATTAATAACACTTTTACTTGTACATATAGTTGTCAAGCCAACACTTGCTATCTCGAGTTATTACTCGTAGTAGTAAAGTAAGCATTTTGAGTGTTTACTTACGATTGGAGTGAATAACAGTAAAAGAAAAATTTACGTATTAAGTAAATACTTTTATTTTCGCAACGTTGGTTTGATGTTACCTCACCGCAAGGTTGATAATTTGAAGTGTCTAAATTATGGCAGCATTTATGAATGTTCGTAAAGTTAAACAATATCGTGATCGAAGAGGTATAAGTCCAAATAGAGCAAAACGTCTTTTAAGATTTGAAAATGAAAATATCAATTTCATTACGAACTATAACAATGAAACTGGAGGTGGTGCTCTGTCCTCCTCAAGAAAATATATGGAAATATTTCCCCGGTATATTAGTGACCCTTGCAAATGATTTCGGTATTGACAGAACAACAGTTTGTAGGACTGTAGATTATTATTATTATTATTATTATGATAATTGAGATGAGCAGAGTACACAGTACTATAAGCTCATGCAGTAAATATAGTGTACGGACACGTAACACAAATACATCAAATAGAAAAAAATAAAAAAAATACAGTTCACAGCTATAAAGTTTGTACACTCCTCCAGCTATCATACTGCACTTTGAAGCTATTAACTGAAGTAGCACCAACCACACTTTCAGGTAAGCTATTCCAGGTGTTGAGTATGCGGTTGGGAAGAAACCACTGTCGGACTGTTGTTTTAAATGGCTCCTTATGCAGTTTGAAGCTGTGTCCTCGTAGATTGCTGCGCGACAGATGGTATAGATGCATGAGGTTGGTGCCCATCAAACCATGAAGTATCCTGAACGTAACTATAAGATCGCCACGAAGTCTTCGCTCAGAGAATGAGGTCAGGTTGAATAATTCAAGGCGATCTTCATAGCTTGGTCTTCGTGCTCCAAAAGGGATACGAGTAGCCCGACGCTGTACTGATTCGACGAGATTTCTATCGCGCAGAAGCACAGTGTCCCATACCGGGCCAGCGAATTCAAGAATTGGCCTCACGAATGCCTTGTAAATGTAGGCGCAAGTTTTGACATCGGATCCTTTGAAAGACCTCTCCAGCATATATAGAAGTTTCTTGGCTTTTGATGTAACGTGGTGAATATGCTCTGACCAGGAAAGACGATCGTTGACTACAACGCCCAGATCAGTGTGGCTCGAAACTGCTTCGATGTTGTGGTCAGAGATCTTGTATGTAAATCGCGGATTTGTCTTCCCGAGGTGAAGGACACAACACTTGGTTAGATTTAAGGGTAAAAGCCAACTGACTGACCATTGACAAACAGTATCAAGATCTCGTTGAAGCATAGCAGAATTTACGACAGTATTGTAAATCTTGGTGTCGTCGGCATAAGCTGAACATGTGGAGGAAATCAATGCGGGCAGGTCACTGGTATACAGAAGGAACAGCACTGGCCCCAAGACAGAGCCTTGAGGAACTCCACTTGCTACATGATGAGGGTGAGACTGGCTATCACTGACGCGCACAGAGAAAGTCCTCCCGGTGAGAAAAGCCTTAATCCACAGTAACAACTCGCCTCTTATTCCCATACATTCCAACTTAAACAGAAGCCTTCTATGTGGTACGCGATCGAAAGCCCTAGAAAAATCTAAGTAGATTATATCAACAGGAGTCTTGGTGTCCAGATACTGAGTCCAATCGTTGAGAGAGTGGAGAAGGTTGGTTATTATTGATCGACCAGGGAGAAATCCATGCTGATTCTTAGGGATAAGGTCATTTTCGAAAGCAAATGACTGGAGCTTATCTAATATGATTCTTTCAGCTATTTTGGCGGCGATAGGAACGAGACTTATTGGTCGATAATTTTTAGCGGAGGATTTGTCGCCCTTTTTGAATACAGGAGTAACAGAAGCACTAAGCCAGCATGAGGGTAGGGTATGAGATCTAAAAGACGATGTGAATATCAAGCTTAATGGTAGGGCCAGTGCTGAAGCGCAGTTTTTAAGTACAGCAGCCGTCATCCCATCTTTACCAGGGGAGGAAGAGGTCTTCAGATTTCGCAGGTGCATTAATACATCTTCAGGCAGGAACTCAACTTCGCAAAGGCTGTTGGGACACCTATGGCAGATAGTGGTCGGTAGAAGGTCTCCATTAGGCTCATCGACGAAGTCATCACTAAAGGACTCTGCCAGTAAGTTGGCAGATTCGGTGGCATCCATGTGGAGATGACCGTCAGCGTCGCGGATCTGAGGTGATGAAACTTTGGAATTCAGGTTTGTTCTTAGATACCGAAACAGCTTCTTCTTATTTTTGGAGGTAACGAGTTTTCGTTCATAAGCATGTTTGGCATTCTGTAACGTTCTAGATAGGAGGTTAGAAAAGGATCGATGAGACACGTAATCTTGTGAATGGCCACTCCTCCTAAACCGTTGCCACAAAGATCTCTTGTGACGAAGCATCCTCGATATGTTAGAGTTGATCCAGGGCTTTGAGGGGTCACAGTATACCTTCTTTTCAACAGTATTGTCAGCCGTTTCGCTTAGGACTCGTTGAGCGAAAGTGTCCCACATATCTTGGGTGCTACGGTTGTTAAGCAAAGCAGGCCAGTTGACTTCAGACAGGGCTTGGTTAAGAGCATCGTGGTTTACAATTTTGTTGGTTTTAAACTTATCGGTTGTAGAACGACTATTTATATTGAACTGGAGAGAAGATAAAAGTGAACAATGGTCAGACTTGCCAAAAGGTGGCAAATAATCTAAATTAGAAACAAAGTCTGCGTCGTTAACGAATATCAAATCCAGAGCCCTAGGCGTCTGTCCTTCCCTGAATCTCGTTGGACGATCAACAAGTTGAGATATGCTAGAGTTGCGTAGCAAGTCGATGTAAGCAGCAGAAGAAGAATTGCATTCAGGAATGGTTGACATAGGCCAGCTAATGTCACGTAGATTGAAGTCACCAGCTATGAAAAGGTTGGTGTTTTTATTTAAGAGATCTGAAATGAGACTGCACAGGTGTGTGTCTCCCAAACAGGGACGTGGCCGATATATGCAGCCTATCGTGAAGCTGAAATTTGGGCACCTCAATTCCAAAAATAGATTGTCAATGCCATCGAAAGGACTGAAAGAGGGAGATACCGAGAAAGCTGACGCGATTTCCGTGCGAACATAAATGCATACTCCACCAAAACCAGGAGTGCGTGGTGAATCCATTCTGTATAAATAGTATCCAGGCAAATTGATGGAAGAGTCGGACACGTTGGAATGGAGCCATGTTTCAGTAAGACAAACGAACGTTGGATTATTGTCTCGAACAAATGCTTGGAGTTCAAGTAGCTTAGAAAAGAGAGATTGTATATTAGTGTAACAAACCGTCCAGTTTGCCACAGAATTTATCAGTTTTTTGAAGGTGTGATCTCCTGGGTAGCTGTGTGTACTATAGAAGGTTTACCACGAACGTATTTTATAGTAATATTACTTTCGCCTGTTGTTTGACGACGTCTAAGCTCTTCGCGAAGGTGTTGTAGTTCTTGCATTTGACCTCTGGTTTTGTCGTCAGAGATTTTTACGTGACGAAGCGTAGGGTGGCTAAGGATGGAGTTTTTCTTCCGCAAAATATTGCTGACGATAATAGGTGAGGAAAACACAACTCTAATTAAACGATTGCTTGAAGTTGTTCTGCCAAGGCGAGTGATGCTGAGTCGGTGATTTTCGGCAGATGGTTCAATATGCCTAATTATCTCTGATACTATGTTTATGTCATCGTTACCTTCAGCTATGCCCCTCAGAATGATATTGTGGGAACGTCTAAATAACTCCATTGTCTCAGCTTGGGAGCTTGGGGCAATAGGGGTAGAAGAAGCGCCGTTGCCTGAGTGCATCATCTCCATAGATCTTGCAAGTCTCGATTCAATATTAGCAATGTTAGAAGACAGCTCTGTTTGAGTAACCTGGATATTTTGTATGTTGGTTTCGCAGGCCGCTATTAAGTCATCATGCCGAGAGATCGAGTCCGAATGTTGCTGTAGCAAGTTTCTACAATAAGCAACATCAGTTCTGAGTTGAGATTGAGAGTTCTTAATATCCTTTATGTCACTGGCCATAGTTGATAATTGGTTAAGTATAAGGGTGAGAGTGTCGGTAGGGGTAGACTGATCTGGTTGTAAAGGAGCAGTGGTTTCTGAACGAGCACCGCATGTGGATCCGCTTCGGGTAACTCGTCCCTGTTTACAACAGGCTGGGCAAGACCATCGTTCTTTTCCGTCCGACAGTTCTTCGTTGTTATCACTGTATTTTTCTACATTATCCCCATCTTCAGGATCTTTCATGTTTTTATTCTTCTTTCGCACAGTCCTACTCATGTTCCCTTATTCCAGCGGCTATTTCCCGATTACCCTATACACTCTGTAGACTAGTTTCTTAATTTGATTTGACACAATTGACGAAATGTCCAAATGACAAAATGGAATATATGGTAAAATGGCTGAAGATTACTCCCACGGCTCTGGAAACTATCGCCAACAGGTCCACAGACGTACCTCTTCCTGCTCTTAACTTGAACACATCTGGTTTTAAATATTTTTGGCTTTTCTCCGATATTTTGAGGTATTTACAGTGAATACTAATTTAGTAGCCTACTTTTTAACTTCGGTTAAAATGTAGTGTTGTACAAAAAATTATGGAGAAGGCAGGTCAATGGATAGTGTTTCCAACAACCGAACGTGATTTAAACGAGGCGAAGACAAGTTAGATTGGCCATATACAAATTAAAAAACCTGAAGGGCAGTTTGGCGATGAGTATATAAATAGCAAAAAATGTTGCTTCATTAAATGTTCAGCTGACATGTGATGCAATGGAAAGGATCACAAGTATAGACGTGCAATGGCCTGGAAGTGTGCACGATAGTAGGATTTGGAGGCAAAGTCCTGTTCAACAAAAACTTGCAAAATTCCTAGGGAATGCTTGTTTGCTGAGGGATAGCGGATATGGTAACATCATTTAGACAGCCATAAACTGAATTAGAACTTTTAAAAGAAAGAGTTGTAATAGAACGTGTACTTGTCCAAATGAAACAACGCTTTCCAATACATGCAAATAGGATTAGACTCGCAATTAGGAATGTACCGAAAATAATCATATATTGTGCTGTACTTCATAATATTGCTAGGCATTTGCAGGATGAGTGGGACTACGAAATAGAAAACAATAAAGACGATCATGTCCCAGAAATTGTTGAGCAAGAGCAAGGAGACATTAGACGACTTGGGGAAGAAAAACGCTTAGATCCAAATAATAAATCACTTTAATTGCTCATAGTGGCGGCGGTATCATGGAGGCGCCCGCACAAGCCGTAAAGAAGGTAGAAGGAAAAGGGACAATTCCGTCCCTCTTTAGAGCACAATGCTTCAATTTATTTAGCGGGTGCGGAAGAACAAGTTTTGGCAGTCCAGAAATTCATGCTACAGACACCGGAGTTAAAAGAAAAGCTCTAGTGCTGATTGCTGGAGAGATTGAGGGAGTTATACTCAACAAACTAGAAAATCCAGTGATATACGACCTCACGGATAATATGGGAACGCTCAGGTTCAAGTTGCCACGATTAAATGACCTAGTCAATACTAGCCAGAATACAATGACATCAAAGATTTGAACGTGGATCGGCAGCGTCTCGCTGCTTCCTTAAACAAGGAATCGCTGCAGATCTGGCTAGATACCGTAAAATGGGATAAACCAGAAATATCAGCTTTTGACGTCGATGTGCAGACTGAGATGCACAAGCAAGAGGGCGAACCAAAACAAACAAAAATCACCTGAACTTAAACAAGCTCATAATATATTGACAGGGCTGGACGACACATCAAGAAGTTATGAAAAATTCATGGAGCTGAACACTGAAGCAGATTGACAAGAACCACGCTTCCAAGTGACTAAGGTAGTGACGTGGCTAATGCTTCCTTGAAGTACGCTGATACTGATAAATGTCACAGGGGAGGGACGATGAAGTGCTAGCGCATTTGCAGCTAGACACAATGAACTGGTCTAAGCTCTTAAAAATGAGGGAGAACAAATCAAATACGTCGTTAAGACAAACAGCAACGTTGTCTCAGATGTAGATTGTGACGACCTCCATGTGCAGGTAGCTATAGCTATAGGCTATAGCTATCAAGCTTACTGAAGACAACGAGCAGGGGCACCGCTATAAAATGATAGAGCGAGCTTTAACAGTACTTCAAAGGAAGAAGGTTGATGAAACCTTGATCAGCCCGCTTGGATTCAAAAACTCTAAATTGTTGCGATGATATGCAGAATACTTTGGAAGGGGTAAATGCGAACATATTTAGATTTTCATGGGGGGGCAGATGATGACATGATACGTTGAAAAGTGGGAAAGCCAAAAGGCAGGGCCAAACTAGGACACCCTTATAAATAAAACAGATCAGGGTGAAAACTCTCACGCTAATACGCTTGGGAGATTGAGGAAAAAATAGATTTGCAAGAAATAGGCGCATCGGTGCTCAATGTGAGACAGACGAGAAAAGGTGAAATTCAGTTGAAGGTGGCAGAAAGAAAGGAAGGAGCTGCTAAAAAGCTTTTGACGAAGTCGAAGGTATCTTAGGTACCGGAAGTGTGGCCAAGGCGCCAGAAAGGACTATTGAAATCATAGTATCTGACCTTGAAAAAACCACAGATAAGTAAGACTTCCGTCAAGCAGTCAAAGAGGCTCTGTAGCAACAACATGTTGCAAGTCGTTGAGTCAAGACCACCTAAAAGTCGGAAGGGACTTCTGAAAAACACATCACATGTTATTATAGCTTAATTATATATTTTCTCAAATTCTTGTTAGAATGTATGGTAGTGACAGTGACGAAAATTCTATCAAACTCAACGTACCTGATTTTTAACAGCCTTTCGTCTTTCGTAGTTCTCGGTGATTGCAGATTGCATTGCAAATACATGCGTTGTCTAGATAGAAGCATTGCGAAATTTAATATACATATCATTTGTTTCAGCTGATAGCTTCAATGGCCATACTAGGTGCCACTATAGAGCTGTATCGAACACAGTCGGATGAAAATAGGCTTTACCTGATCCTTACATTAATAATGGGAATATTCAACGTTATCGTCGGAGCGATAATGGTGGCTGCACTTATAAAGGTTAGTAGTACAGGGGCGTAACAACCGCCGTATCAATGGTATGGGGACTCCAGCTTACAAAGGCCTTCACATGTGCAAGAAATATACCTACAGTATTATTCACAATCTCATGTAGGTCTTTAGGCCGCTTGCCAAATTATAAATTATCAAGCGCTAAATTTTTAGATTGTATGACTAGGTGATAATATTATCTTTCCTATTTTTGACACTCCAGATCACAACTACCACAGCTAAATGACGCTTTTCAAAATAAAAGTTATTATCTTAGGACGTCTATGAGACAACTATGATAACTATTAAATTTGGTACTGCATCAGAGGTAAAAAATCTCGAACCACTAAAATCATTTTCAGACAACTTTTTCTGAAATTGTACCTGCCCCCATAGAGCGGGCCGTAGCTTCTCAAACCCTAAAATTCTTCAAAATTGTACAAAAAATCATCCGGAGGTACAGTGGTAGGATTCGCGGATACTGTTATAAATTATGAAGACTCAAGTTAGCACGCACTTAAAAATAAAAAGAAGTCTATTCCCACGAAACCTAAGCACAGAACTGAGCACCTGCCTTTCCCGAACGATTCTTTTAAATGTTAGCACTAATGACAAAAAATAATGAAAGCAACGGCTGAGCCCTGCCAGGTCACCGTTTCCGTATCAAAAATGCTATGATTCATCTATGAAAGAACCGTTCTTCGAGGGTCCGCGAACTCACAGTCTTTCATCACAATAGTACCTTGTCAATAATCGAATGTTATTTTAGAAATCATATTGTAGCTACCTTATAGACTAAATAATTTAGTAATTTTTTTTTTCAGGGAAAAGAACGTTTGGTGTTTCTGTACATGGTTCTAGAATTAACAAATCTGATGATAATAACGATATTTGCACTGATAAACACATTTCGCCAAGGTTATTACCATCTGTCAATTGTTCTGTTTATATGCTGTAAGTATAACTTTTATACTCTTCTGGAAAGATAAATTTATGAATTTGAGAAATCTTAGCTAAAATTATTTTTTGCAATAATTTCTGTTACTGTTTTGTTTTCCCGACAACTTATCCGACAAATTTTAACCACATATATGCACTGTTACGAAATAAGTTAATTTCCCAAAAAAAATGTAACAAAAGTCCTACAGAAATCGATAATTAAATAATACAGTTTAACAGTTCACTTACTTATAAAAGCTGTTCAAAATTGTTACCATTGACTGCTATGCAAGCTTGGGTGCGTCTTATCCAATTTCGGCGCACTAATTCAAATATCTCCTTCATGCTGAGCCTGAAGGCTCAAATTATTGGCAGTTACTGTGATTTGGTTACGCAATTCTTCAACATTCTGAACTGGAGTACGGTGTACCTCATTTTTCAACTATCCCCATGAAAAGAAGTCCAGAGGAGACCGTGGAGGCCATGCAATTGGTCCACCCCTTCCGATCCAGTGTATCTGGTATACCTGATTAAAAAAATCACGAACTTCTAAACAAAAATTTGGAGGTGCCCCATCGTGCAGAAACCGCATCCGTGCTCGGCCCACCAATTGCATACCATCAATAAGGACCGGAAAATCATTCCGAAGAAATTCCAAATACTGGTGACCATCCATCCGATCTGGCAATATGAACGGTCCAATTAGACGTTCATCGACAATACCTTTAAAGAAAAGCGATGTTGGAAGTGTATCTGGACCACAGCGTGAGGATTCAAAAAGGACCAAACGTGTGTATAAGATTGGTTATCCCATTACGAGTAAAAATAGCTTCATCGGATGTGATAGGGTAGAGTTGGGCCTCATGTAATATGCGCCACGCTGTTGCATGTGACACTTCTGGGACCTGTTGGGCTAACTGCCTTGTGCTTATTACCGAATTTTCTTCAATAATATCAAAAATTTCGTCTTCGGCATTTAAAACGTGTTGTGGGTGAATCCGACCCCCATCCACTCCACGCCTGGGGCGCAAATCTCCACTAGCACGTGCAAGTAAAACAATTGAACTAAATGTTTCGTAATGTGGTATGTGCCTATACGGAAATCGGTGTGCATAAAAACGAGAAGCCGCTCGCGAATTTAGGCCTGCTTCTCTGTACGCTAAAACAATGTCCACTAACTCCTCATTAGTGTGTAGGTACACACGTGCCATTTTTATTAAGAAATAACTAAGAATATAAACTTGCAAAATGATTTCTTATTTAACTTCACAAAAATCGCACGTTCTTCATTCAGATCACCCACGATACAGATTCAACCTTATTTACACGTTCTTATCAGTATGAAAAAACATAAAAATCCAGGTATTTTGTTTTCGTCACTTGTTTGGTACAACATTTGCTACAATAAATTACACTGATAAACACAGGATTTGTGAACTGACAATTTTTGGGTGTATCTTATGTATTTTGAGACCTTTAAATCAAATCTAAAAGCAGAATTTTTCTATCACCCACAGATATTTGGTAACATTTACTTTTATGAATTACAATACCTAACATCTCATATTGCTGCATTTCTCGACATTTATGCGATGACGCACATATATAATGTTAAGATCTGTCTATTCCTGTTTATTATGTGCGAGCTCTATGTTGAGAGAGCATATTGCGCTTATTAGTAGACTAATAGCAGCCGAGTCAGTTACGTTTTCTGTGTTGAAGAGTACTGAGATGTTCTGAGTACTGTTAATTTTTGTTAAAACGGAGTGATCTTTTTGGTTTATTGTGTAAATAGTGCGAACAGTTTTTGTTATGTGTGCGGAGAACTTTTAAATCCCAAAAACGTACTTTTACTCCCCTTGGGTTGAAAGCATACGAACTATATTTTGGAATTAAAGTTGGCGACCAAGATGAACTATGGGCCCCTCATATTTCTTGTAAGACTAGTGCAACGTTGTTAACAGGTTGGTTAAGAGGCAACAATCGTAAAATGCCCTTTGCGGTACCAATGGTTTGGAGAGAACCGAGAGACCATACTACTGATTGCTATTTTTGCCTCACAAATATTAAAGGTATTGGTCCAAAATCGAAACATACTGTTAAGTATTTTACCATCAGCTTTGCGGCCCGTTTAGCATAGTGATTAACTTTCTGTCCCAGTTCCACCAGAATCTTGGTCTTTGGATGAAAAAGTCGAATCCACCGATTCTAAAAGTGATGGTACAGAAAGCGTAAAAATTGCCGATCCTTCGTTTGCCCTTGCAGGATGTTCAACAGCGCTGCATTTCATCACACAGGGCGAACTTAATGACTTAGATCGAGAATTAAATCTGTCAAAATCCCAGTCAGAACTTTAGCGTCAAGATTAAGGAGGGAGTCTTCTCCACGGTGATGTTAACATTACTTTTTAGCGAAAACGGCAACAGGACCTCACACACTGTTTCCGTCAAGAAAGGGAGTTGATGTATTGCTCCGATGTCAACAGTTTGACGCGTTAGGACAGAAACATGATCCAAATGGTTAGCGCCTGTTCATTGATTCCTCTAAGCTTAGTTTAAAAGCGGTATTGGTACACAACGGTAATAAATATCCATCTGTAGGCATCATATGAAGATATGCGAGTTCTGTTGGAGCATATCCGTTATGATGAATATGGAAGGGCCATATGTGCAGATTTGAAGGAAATAGACCTTCTTCTTGGTATGCAACTGGGATATACCAAATATTGCTGTTTTCTTTGTGAATGAGACAGTCGTGAGCGAGATCATCACTACGAATAGAAGGAGTGGCCACTACGGTCAGGTATTAACTTTGGGCCTCAAAAACATTGCTCATGAACCACTAGTTGATCCCAAAAACGTGTTGCTTCCACCTTTGCATATTAAGTTAGGACTGATGAAAAATTTTGTGAAAGCTATTGACCGAAATGGAAGAGGGTTTCTGCATTTAAAACAAACATTTCCGAGTACTTAGTGAGGCAAAAATTAAAAAGGGCATATTTGTGTGTGGGCCCACAAATACGGAAAATCATGAAGGATGATGTATTTGGCAGTGCTATAAATGAAACTGAATTACGAGCTTGGAATGAATGCTTTTAAATCAGTTACTGCAAATTTGTTAGGCAATGTGAAGGCGGACAATTATAAAGATATTATGAGTGAACTAATTAATGCTTATAAAGGAATGGGATGTAGCATGTTTCTAAAAATTCGCTTTTTGGATTCTCATCTCGATTTTTTTCCGGAAGGTGCGGTAAGTGATGAACACGGTGAACGGGTCCACCAAGACATTTTTGCTATGGAAAAACGGTATCAAGGCAAATGGGGTGTCAATTTGCTTGCTGATTATTGCTGGACATTGTTAAGAGATACTTCAGGAGCAACATATCGCCGTAAAACATCGACAACAACATTCTGAGATTAATGTTTATTCGTGTGTTTATTAGTACTTTTACACACATATCCTTATATTTTACGAGTATAAGCAGCAAATAAAATGCCTTATTACAAGAAAACCGTGGGTGATAGAAAAAGTCGAATGCTATTTCCGGCTTTTAGGGTACGTTTTACATAATAACCTCCTTGTTTTGTCCATGTCACAAAAAATTATTTTAACTTTGTTCACCAATGATATGATTACGTGCTCTAATATCTCGACAATGAACGCAAAATACAGATATTTATTTTTCAATTTACTATTGAAACTCAGCTTTATAACTTAATTTCTGTAGGACTTTTATTACATTCTTTTGAGAAATGAACTTACTTCGTAACAGTGCATATGTGGTTAAAATTTGTTGGATAAGTTGTGAAACACCCTGTATAATTCGTCTCAGAGCCAACTTATCAGCTGCATGATGTTTAAGTAAGAAACACTTTCTGTCTGTAATTTAGAATAAGCGAATTGGAGTTTTTATTGGAATCATATTTCTATTAGACTTGTCCATATCTTTTACGTGAGGCCAGAAGGACCAGCATGTTCCCCATGTAAAAAAATGTCCACCATGTAAAAGCCATTTAATATCTAAGTCAACTTTTTTCTAGTTTGTGAATAAAAATTGTAAACAAATAGTAGGCTAATCTTTTCCTAGATAAAACTGATCATACTTCTGGAAGATGTGAAGATTTACATGTTCATAAAGCATAAATAACAGTTGTATTTGCGGTCGACATAACGATAGAATAACATATTTCGCCTTGCTTTACATTAACTGTATTTAACTGATGGTCATACACTCATCATAGATATATTTAATATTTAAGTTATTAACCCAAATAGTAAAAAACAACTTTCTTATCTGCAATTCAAAATAAACGCAACAAGCATAATTTTGATCAAATTCGGAACGATGTTTCATTACTCCAACTTTGAGTCAATCTATAGTGCGAAACCAGTTGCCAATCAGGCCGCAATGCTTTCCATCATCAGCAACCACATTTTACTCCATAATCTGCTTTTTGTTCACGTCAGTATATACAGTGGCTGAGGTTTTAGACGCAATTGAAGATATTACCACCAATTTTTCTTCTTTCTTTCATAACTTTTTGTATGAAGTCAAAAAGTTTTTAATCAATTTGTACAGAAATCTTCAAAGCTGAGTTCACATTTTTTCATATGGTCATTGCTTCCGAAAACAAAAACTTTTGACTTAATTTAAGAACTCGCTGTATAATAATTTCACGCTCTACCCCTTTGAAATACAGTGTCGGAGCAATAACAATATCCCTCACTCTCTCATTTTGGGCGAGTATTCTTCTTTTGGAGCAGAATGAATGTAACACAAAAGTCACAGATTTTAATCCGTTACATTATCATTACATGCCTAAAAGTCGGGTCGAATATTGCTCCCAGTTAATGATTCCTTCATTGCATGTGTAGGAGCATGATTTAGGCATATTTTGCACATATTATGTGGAGAGGTTCATTTTCAAATTGCATACTGGAGGTGATGTGGTTATCCATCATACATATTTAGATAAACGCAACCAGAAGAGGATAAAAGGCTATACCGCTGTCCTATCACCTTCTGGAGGTGCTTTGCATCCCCTCGTGGCAACACGAGTGTTCGCCGAGGTTGGACACCGATACTGTTTCTACTCGTATCGAAACATCTCCATTTTTATTGCTCTAAAACATAATCGAATATCTTTTCGTATTGGCGATTTGTTGATCCTTATTTTGGGGACCACCTGAAAGAAGACAATTATGGAGATATTTTTTTATTGAAGTCCTATCATAAAAATCCCCAGTATTAGGTATAATACCTCCTAACTATTATTACTATATTGTTGCAGTTTTTCTTTGGTATGGACTTTGGTGTACCTGGTCATTCTACGCTGAACTGGCTGAATACAATTCTGTAAAATCAGGACCGACTGAAATAGTTTACCAGCAAAATATCAATCCAGTTGCTTTTCCGGACCGTGCCATGGAAAGCACCCACGTTTAGTGATCTCATTACAATAATATTATATTTTGTATAAAATTTATGTATATAATCTACATAGAATATATTGTTTCGGTTAAATATATTACTGTTGTTGTGTGTAATCAATTTTCTTTTCTGCTTGGAAAATGGCGAAAGTGATTTTCCTAATACCTAAACTATCATACTTATCTTTGTAATATAGTTTACTGACATATTTATGATACCGGTTCTCTGTTTTGGCATGGGAATTGTTATCACTCTTCTTATAACAATGAGATGGAATGGTATTTTAGATAGTTATTTTTAAGAAAAAATCGAATAATTCAATTAGATGAGGCAGAAACCTCGCATTTGTGGAGGGAAGATTTCAACTTGTGTGCTGGGGAAAAAAAGACTAGCAGGGACTTCCTCTCTGGTGAGAGACCTGGTGGTCATCACAGCTTGGGGCGCAATTCTAGTACAGTTTAATGCTCCTAAAACACAATGCTGTACTTAGACTAATACGAGGGGCCCTAGCGCTCATCCGGTTTCGATGGATGACCGAGTTGTACTAAAGAGCCGTTCCTCTCGACTGGTCGGAACCCAGATGACCGCGGATTTGATCTGGCAGGAACACATCTCGTCAATAGAGGCAGCTGCTGGGAAAAAGCTAGGCTATTAGTTAAGTGAAATACTTTTCTAAACATAAGCTATCACTCCGTATAAGATCCAGATAAGACCTAGCCTCGAGTACTGCTCACATATTTGGGGTGCTGCCGCTCCGACTATATCATTCGCGCTCGATGTTGTTCAGAGGATGGTTGTCCGGTTGATCCCTGACTCCTCTGTCGTGACCCTTTTGCACCGACTGGCTGTCGGCAATCTAGCTCTCTATGTCAACAGGTTTTGCTGCTCAGAGCTCTCCTCCATGATGCCGCTAGGTGATGTGCCTGCTATACAGATCCGTCTGACTTCGGCCTCCCATATTAAGCGTGTTGAACTTCGTACATCCAGAACCGGCCGGTACGACCGCTCTTTTGTCCTGGGGTATCTAGGTTCCAGAACAATTTTCCTGGGGAGGATTTTCCCAATTCTACTATCCCGAAACAATTAAAAAATCGGACTAACAAAGTTTCACTAAGCCCCTCTTAGCAGTCGCGGTGCCTGATATTTAATCTTCTGCCTACTCGGTTGCTTCGGTATATAAAAAAATATGTAACTTTGGTGTTGAATAAATCTATGACGGATATATTCTAGATTTATGAGGTTCTGGTACAACTGTTCCACATAGTTTATTCCTTGTATAATGTATCCTTTTCTTTATCGTGATTTACAAATTTGTGATAGTGAGTTATAATTGTGGGAGATAAAGCTGTCCTATCATACTCCTGTAAATCTTTGTATAAATCACTGGTGTGATCAGTGTATGGTATAAGCTATAAGGTATAGAGATATTTTACTTTTCAAGTATCTTTGATGTATACTAAGTGACATATAAATCCGAACACCCAGTTTAAATGGTTTTATTTTAATAAAAGTTGGTGAATGTATTTATCTTTATCAAGATAATGCCCGACCACATGTTGCAAGAGTCACAATAGACTTCTTTCAACATAATGATGTCACATTGTTACCATGACCACCAAGATCTCCCGACTTATCCCCAATTGAGCTCGTGTGGGATATGATGGGTAGGAGATTGCTCAATTTGCAACGTCATCCACACATTATTAAAGGTCAAAGGGCTTTAAAGTAGTGCAATCATTTTGAAATTTTTATCATTTACTTATTATGCTTCATTAAGTACTTATACAAAATTTTATTAAAATAAAACCAAATATAACTTTTTTTTAAAAAAATACACGTACACAATATGAATGTCCCATAGTAATTGCGAATCTAGGATATTACTAAGTTTGTTGTAACTGATGCTCGATTATTTTGTAGTTTTTGATAATTTATGTTAACCGAAATACTTATGTAATTTGGTAAATGACTAGAATAAGATGAAAATGTTGAAAAATGAAATGTTATAATACGAATTTATTCAGAACCAACCTACGAATTTGAACATAATAGGAGATAAACCTTATGTTTAAATTTCATTGTTGCCAAAATCACTTAGTTAGCACACACTTCTGACTCACTTGTCTACCAATGCCTACCAAAGTGACAGCGCTGTATCAACATAATAATACTTACCGGTGGAAACATCTACCTTCATAAGGTTTGTGCCACTCTTTGCATATTATATAAGAAGTACCATGTCATGTAATCGTCAAGTTTACTTTAATCCTCAGTTCGTCGGAACCAACCTACTGGACATCATACTAAGTACAGAAAAATTTTACAGAAATGTCACCAGATTCATCTTATCAAGTGTCTGTTTCATTAGTTGGCCAAATTAAGAATACTAACTTATCAAGACACTAAGTTTCAAAACTTACTTTAAGATATCACTCTGTCAAAAATAAAAATGTTCTGATTTTTGGCAAACCTAAAAAGACGTACAGAAGAAAGTCGTGTTCAAAAGTAAAGTGATTCCTGACGTACCTGGTAACCTAAGCTTGGAAAGTTAACCAACAATGTAACTGTTTTTTGCTTAAAACGGTTTCTTGGAAAGTTAACCAACAATGTAACTGTTTTTTGCTTAAAACCGTTTCTTGTGGAATCCGACTTATTCAACTCTTTAAAATCTCTCAGCAGTTTCATATACACACATTCGTTCACCTAAATATAGTTTCAAGATATTGCTACGTCTGAATTTAATCCTTTTTTCTACAATCACAAGGTACGTTTTACTGCTCATTAAAGAAGCAAAAACGCTAAATACTAGTTTCGTAGTGATTGACTGCTATACAATCGTGGTAATGGGGGTAATCTGGAAAGCTGGAAGTAGATGGCGCTAGCTATGTTAGAGGCCATATCTAAGTGCCGTATCGTTAGCCGTTCCTACAATTGTAGGACGCCTTTATGGCCTCCTTGATTTCCACAGTTTTCTACTTTTCCGTGTCAGCGCTCTATTTTGAGGTTATGTCACAAGTATCTATTTGCATCAAATTGTTCATGCTTTTGATTTTAATCGTCTGTTTTATCAGCCTGAAATTTCCAAAAAGAAAACAACTTCACGATACGAGAGCGCTGACGCTGACACGGAACAGGTGAAATCTAGAAATTTCTGAAGGAGAGAAGACTATGACGATCAAGGAGTCCATAAAGGCGTCCTATAATTGTAGGAACGACTAACGATACAGCCCTAAGACAATAAACAGATAAAGATATCAGTTGCTGATCAGCTGTTCTATAGGCGTCAAAGCGTGATGAAGTCGTGAACCCTTGGTTAACTTTTCACAGTTTGACCTGCATCAATGCAAGTACCGCTTAGCCTGAGCAAAACAAGACAACGCTGATTTTTGAAAACGGATTTTAGGTTCCACTCTTTTGGTGCAGGTGAAGTATTCGTATCTTATGTGCAGCATAAACTCAAGAGCTGTGCATCTCCCGGAAAATTGCCGATTCGTGAGGTATTTCCCAAGCTGCTGCTCGACCAGTACCTTGAGCTTGCAATTCACAAACAGTTATTCCTAATCTGTATAGTTTCTTGAATACCTCGCCCTGATATCATATTTGTATTCTGTTGACATGCCAATTTGTACCATATTTTCTGCCATGTACGACTGTGATTGATCTTACTTTCGTGTCGTAAATAAAGTTGACCTGTACCGTTACAGCTTTATTCGAAGACCCGTTAGACAAAAACAGCAGAACTGCTTTTTAATCATGGTGTTGCGATTTAATCTGACAACTTCCCCCGACCTTAAACTTGTCTTGGTCTCCGTTTTGATCTGTAGCAGCGCATAATAAAAATGTTGTCACAGAGGTCATTGAATTTTTATTCATATACTTTTGATTACTGGGTTTGGGCATACATATTTATGAGATATCCTACATCGTGAAATTGCAGAAACTGAATATCTCTTTGTTTACCACCTTGAGAATTATGACTTACAAAAAATTAATCGTAAAGAAGAGGTTGTTACTACTCTTCCAAGGAGAAATTTTGTACAGAAAGGATAAAAATCAATGATCTAACTTTATTAACCTGATAATAACTTATTAAGAGAAAAAATAAGATTCTGAAGCTAACATCAATCGACATGATGACTTGTTAAACATATTAGACTTATTTCTCTCAGGTATGTAGTAACCCTTATATTTTCAATAAAATGTCTGTACTGGATTTGGTTCCTACTTCGAGTAGGAGCCAGATGATTCTTTTTGATTTGTCGAATGTGCAAGTATAATGCAAACCCTTCTTTTCGATTAGTGGAATTTGTGTCTGGATCACAAACTTTGTGCCTGAGCGCAAATAAAAAAATAGGTTTTTGTAGCTAAACCAGGTGATATATGAACCTTTTCGTGATGTAATATAAGAACTAGGGGCCCATCTTACACAAATCGCATAATTTTTCTCTAGTTTGAGAGACATTTTACAAAAAAAGACCATATTCATTGGATCCATTACTTCAAAAACACCTTTGGTCAAATTTGTACCAGAGGTGTATCTTTTGACTCTCACTTGTTCATAGTAAAATTACGCCTTTAGAAGCACAAAAAATTGTACATAAAATCATCTTGAAAATGAAAACTTTTAAGGTCCAACTAAACTCTCAAATGAAAGGAGGGGGTAGGCAGTGTTCTCTTATGGTCAATATATCATGCAAAATATCTGAAATGTCGCACGGAGCTCATAAAGTGCCTTCCTGAATCTCGCAAACAACATTTTTCCTTCGACAAAATCTCACGAAGCTAAGGCGACAATGACAATTTGCTATGCCAAAGTAGAAGTTTGCTTAAAAATACTTACCTTTTTCTTCATCATTGACAACCTTTTTCCAACGCCCGTCTTAATTAATTGAATAGTTAATTACTTGACAAAAGTGGCATTGACAGATGTGCATCATCTGACATTAATTGCCAAATTTTTGCATCCGGAGAAATTTTTATATTTTGGCAAGAAAGAAGGCAATAATATTATGGAAGCTAAACCAGAGGGGTCCCCAGGCGACCCCTCTACTGCTTTGAGTGGAGTTGGCGCGGAGTACAGCGCTACTTAGGAATATATTCCAGAAAACCAAAACGAGATG